GGTAGAGGTTTGGATTTGACTTCCGCTAAAATTAAGGGACCGTCAACGAATCAGATGCGTTTGATATATCCAATCAACCAATCAGATGTTTACTAAGCCAGTGAGAGGTAGTGGTAGCGGTAGTGGAAGTCAAATTTGATCCTCTATAATATAACCAACATGCGCAATGGCGGATAATTTATGGACATGGTATAATACTGTTCATTCAAGGACTGTATATATGTAGTCTCGCCTAAACCAATTTTATTAACTCTCCGAAGACTGCGAACATAGTCCAACTCCGTCATATCGCTAGTTTTTGTGTCCATCCTGGGAAGCGAAATTCTGTCGGACAGTCCGGAAAGTGTTGAGCTCTTTGCGTACGTGTCTTGACGCTATCTCTGTAGCAACTTACTATAAGTAGTCATCGAATTCTCAAGTAAAACATCAGTATTGAGTCATGTGGCGGGCCTTTATTTTTCCCCAAGATATCCAATAATCTTGGTCCACGTGTGCAAAGGCGGAAATTGAAGAAAGAAAAACAATCAACTTGGGTAAAGATTAACGGCGATAATAGTATAGATGAAGTACGTGTGATTGTGAAATTTACAGAAAATATAAAACATTGTCGGCTAAAATGGTTGCAAACATCCAAACAAAAGGATACTATATAATTTATAAGAGCATGATCATGATCATGATCAAACCGATAGGTGAAACCTCCCTAACGATCGTGTACGCAACAAGTTCACTTAATTTTTAAACTGTTTTGGCAATCGACGAAGAGATTACCTTGTATCAAACTATATATAACATGGCGACAATGGTGTAACTTGCAGCACATCAAACATCGTTTAAGGTTTACTTTCAGACGTTAAATTTGTACGATTTCCCCTGGACGTTCCCCCGACATTATCATGATTTCATTGATAGATAATAAAAGGTAAAAAAAAAGGAACATACCTTCTATCTACAGACGCAATTAATACATCATTCTGTAAATTTGAAGGAATTGAATCAAGTCTGGAATTGTTATTCTGTCTTCAAAAACGGTGACAGGATGACACTTGATTGAACTGAAGTTGTTTTACAGTGTAACATTCATTTCTCTTGCTAATCAACCTTGACGAAATAGATCAAACAGAGGCGTGCATACCTGGACCTTAAGTAGAATCTGCCCGACAGAACTCTGACTGGGGGAGGGTGGCTGTAG